GTGGTCAGCGGCCCTCAGCTACATGGCGTTTGTTCTGGGCTCTCTGCACCTGCGTCACAGGGGGTCACTGGCGCTGACAGGGCCAGGGGGTCAGATTAGTCCCCACATGCACGAGCTGAGCCGCACCTCAAAGCCCGCGGCGCCCCCAGCCCTTCCCGGGTACGGAGTGTCTGGGGTCACAGGCCGGGCTGAGCCCAGCAGCTTCCTCTGTGTGCAGCCAGGAGGCCGCCGCCTGCTCCCCCAGGTGGGGGCTGCTCCAGCACCCCCAGAGCCGGGACAGGTGAGCGGGGAGAGGAGCTCTGGGGGGAGCTGGGCCCCGCGGGGTCGGTGCCCGGGCTCCGGCCTTGCCCCACGCGCCTGTGGGCAGCACGAGCCCAGCTTGGCCACTGAAAGGCCCCGGGCCCAACAGAGGAGTCGGGTGCGCTCACTCGCTCATGCAGGGGAGCCCGTCTCCCCAACAGTCTGGGGCCTGGCCTGGGGCCCCAGGGCACTGAGCTCGGCCTACGCTGCCAGCTGCAAAGGCAAAGCCCTCTGGGGCCACTGAGCCGCCCTGAGTGAGGGGTCACACGGGGTGCTCCCCCAGAGTGAGGGGTCATGGGGGGCAGGGGAGCGGCTGGCAGGCCAGTGGCCATGGTCAGGCACATGCTCTCCAGGAGCCCCCTGAAGTCACGACCCGTGACCACCCGGCACGGACGCCCGGCCGGAGTCAGGGGGGAAGGCCAGTCCCTGGCCCTGACCAGCAGCAGGGACGCGGTTGTTACACAGCAGGGCCCAGAGAGAACGGGAGCCCCTCGGCCCCCTCGGGGGGCTCCCCTGCCCGACTGCAGCTGTGGGGAGCAGCCATCCCCGTCTCTGACCCCTCGGGAATGAGGGTTCAGGTCCCAGCAGGGCGGGACTGAGCTGGACAGAGAGGAGCCGGGGGTGGGGGGACGGGGCACACCAGCCGGCCAGGACGAGAGCAGCGCCGGCCGCCGTCCAGCCAGGGCCTTCTCTCCTGGGCCCAGCAGAGCCCCGAGCAGCGCCAGGGCCCCCGCACAGGAGAAGCGGCCCCCCCCTGCGGAGTAGATCTGGTCTTACTGTCTCTCCTGACTGAACGTGTTGACGGCGTCACCTTTGACGCTGTACACAGAACAGGCCGCGTTCCAGACTCTGTCACGTGTCCAGTGAAACTCAGGGTACAGAGAACGACGGGACCGTCTGCCTGTGTAAAGGGCTAAGGGGGTGGCCCGACGCTTTCAGACGTCAGCCTCAGGTGGGCCTGCCCCAGCCCAGGCAGGGGCGAGGGTGCGGCCGCGCAGCCCCCAGCGTGAGGTGCGCCCAGGCCTTGGCACCGCGCGGCCTGGCCGGGCAGCGGAGCAACAGACCAGCAACAAGGCCCTTGGGGGAGCAGAGGGCCGGAAGTGAGGCCTCAAAGTAGCCCCTGAGGGCCCCCCGGTGGCGCAGAGGGCTAAAGCGCAGCACTATGAGGCTGTCTGCAGCCCCTGCAGCGCCAGTTCGAGCCCCGGCCAGGGAGAGACCCCAGGGCGCAGCAGACCCCTCCTGTCTCCCCGCTGCTCCCCTCCGCTGTGGATTTCAGTCAGTCTGCCTCTGCTGCTCCCCACTCTGCTCCCCACTCTGTCTCTGGTGAGTCCTCTCCCCACCACATCCTCTGGCCTGTACCCCAGTTCTGTATGCATAATCAAATAAATCTTTGGGGGAAGAAAACTAGGCCCTGAGGGGCAGGAGGAGGGTGGGAGGGCGGGGGCACAGTGGGCTTGTGGGGGGGGGCACCAGGTGGCCGCGCGGGGCGGGGCGAGAGCCCCATTCAGGCAGCACCGACACTGGGTAAACCCCTGCGCCATCAATACCGGGTTTTTGAAAGAAAATTCTTGCCTGTGCTTGAATGAAACATGAAGCCTCTGGGATCGCTGAGAGAAATCAAAACTGCAAAGAGCCCCTCAATAATTTAGCAAGTGGGCGATATGCTGAGCTGGCCATTTGCACACACAGACACACACAGACACCCACACACACACACAAACCGATCCTCAGGATCCTCGGGCAAGGATGGAGGCCGCCTGCCCCCTAGCGGCCGCCTGGCGAACGGCGGCTTCCGCGCCCTCCTGGGGAGAAACTCCCGCCCCCTCCCAGTCTGCCCCCAGAGGGGACCTGGCCCAACCGCAGAAACCAGAAGAGGCGGAGCACGCGGCAGGTAACGGAGGAGGCGCCACCTGGGCCCGGCCCCCAGCCCCCTCCCCCCGGACAAGGGGCTCAAAATCCCGGGGTTCCGTGATGATGGGGAGACCACCCCCGTCACACGCAAGGTAGCGAGTGCCCCTGGGGTGCTGGGGAGCGTGAAGCAGCGAGGAGACCGTGTGCCCCACAGCTGGACAGAACTCGGCGACACAGGGGTCACGCCCTGTCTGCTGCCGGGAGCCCCGCAGCCAGCGGGGAAGAGCTGGCTGCACCGGCCCAACTCAGCCTGGCGGTCGCGGGGAGGCTCCCTGGAAGGACACGCGCAGGGGAAGGGGCCCGGGCCCTGGGAGCAGGGGCGGGGGGCGGGCAGGCCGGGGAGCGCGGGGCGGGGCCACCGCATGGTCTGGATAGACGTAACCCCATGAGCTGCCAGTGGGGTGAGGCGGTGGCGGAGCAGAGGCGGTTTGGGGGCAACGGAGCCGGGCTGAGCTTGCCACAGGGCGGGGCGGATGCGTCAGGCTGCCCACAGGGCCTCCTGCTTCCACGGTCACTGGTTGGCCCTCACCCAGGACGAGTCTGGTTCCCCCCCCCCTTCCTGCCGCTCACCGCTCTCCGCTCTCCGCTCTGGAGGGGCAGTAAGGAGCCTGGCCAGCAGCTGAATTCTACCGTTTGACAGTTTTCAGGTGGAATGAGTGTCTGACACAGGAGCGTCCTGTCGGATGGACACGCAGGCCGATGGGACGGACCTGGGGGCCCAGAGACAAGCCCGCACTTACCTGGACAGTCACTCTGCGTGGAGGACCGGAGGGGACACTGGAGCAAGGAGTCACCCGAACATCGAACATCGGGGTTGGGAAAACCGGACAGTCAGACGCGGAAGAGTGAAACAGGCCGTTCCGTCTCTCTCTCACACACGCACACACCCAAGTGGACTGAAGACCGGACGGGCGGAAACCATAACTTACACGGAAGGAGACGCACCGGAGCCCGCCCGCCAGGTGCGCCTCGGGCTGTCTGGGGCTTCAGGTCAGCATCAGGCAAAAGTCGGCCGGCAGGACACAGCGCACTCAGCGGCCGCGACACAGACCGTCAGGACACGAACCGCCCCGCAGGGCGGAGAAGACGCCCTGGCCGCAGACACCAGCCCAGGCCCCGGTCCAGGCGCCTCAAGGAACTCACACATTCCCGGCAAGAAAACAAACTGCCCAGTCCAGCTGTGGGCAGGTGAGCCAGCGCGAGAGCTCTGCGCAGACAGCACGCAGCTGCCGGCCAGCCTCTGGGAACTGCCATGGCCCTGTCATCGGGGAAACGCAACCGGAACCCTCTGGGCTCCCTCCTCACACCTGCACGACGACCACATCAAAAAGGCCAGAAACAACCAGGACTGGCGAGCGGGTGGGCACGGGAGCTGGCATGCTGCTCGGGGGATGCAGGCCCACCGCGGAGGGCAGGCTGGAAGTTCCTCAGATATCCAAAGTAGGCCTGGACACGTACCCGCAGCCCCACTCCTGGGACTCTGCCCCAAGAAAACGAAGCACTGCTGTGGCCACAGCAGCCCACACAGCCACGTTATGGAAACAACCCAAGTGCCCACGGACAGATGTGGGGACCAAGAAGAGGTGGTCAGTGCGCCGTGGAATACTACTCGGCCGTTAAAAAGATGAGGTCTTGGCATTTTAACAACATGGACGGAGAGGCTGATGCCGGGCAAACACATCAGAGGAGACAGACTCTGGGTGGTTTGGGCATAAGGTTTGTCGTGGACCAAGCAAGGGGCAGCGAAAGCCAAGAAATCAAACCCTAGAAATCTGGCTGCAGAATGGAGGCTCCCAGAGCAGCTGTGCGGTGGGGAGCCCAGTGAGGAGGGCCCAAAGGACCGTGGTGAAGCCTAGCTTGCAGTGGGCGACCTTGGGACCCCCACAAGCCTCTCTCGGGCCTGAGCTGTCTTTGCTGACATGCAGAAAGTTGAGCAATTAGACCACACCTGTTACCACCACTAAGCCACAGCACAGGGCCTGGGGGTAGGGAGCGTGCTGGGCCACCAGGGGGCGCCCCTGCGCCCCACTCCTTAGGCGTGAATGCCTCAGTGTAGCTGCAAGCGGTTAAGTCGCCTCCTATTTTAAAACTGAAGTTAACGGCCACCAAGGCGACGCGCCGGGACCCTGGCCAGGCCCTGCACGTTTTCTAATGACACGTGCTCCAGGCGCCTAATGAGTAAGAAGGTGGGGCCGTAAAAGCGGCAGCCTCCTGGGGACGAGGGCAGGATCCTGGGGCACACAGAGCTGGACCCCGCCCCTCCAGGGAGGGAGCAACGAGGGCAACTTCCACGCCAGCGCCTCCAGCCTCCTGCCCATCCAGGCCAGCGGGCCCAGGGCCAGCTGGATCCTGCCTCTAGATACCCTCAGTCCCCCGGGGCTTTCTGCCCGCCTGACCGCGGGGAGGGCTCTCTGCTGCCACCTGCTGGCCATCGCCGGTACCTGCAGGGCCTCCCTACAGCTGGCCCAGGGACGGTGGTTGCATTTAAAAGATATTTACACGCCATAAATAAGTAAACCCCTATAGATCAGCACGTCTTGTGAACCCAGACACAGAAGTCCTCAACAAAACATGAGCCACTGAATCCATTCTACACCATAAAAAAGTGGGATTCAGCCCAGGAATGAATGCAAGCTTTGTTGAAAATCTTAAAATTTTTAATGCAATGTACCTATCATTAGAATAAATACCAAAAAGCCACGCAGTCCGCTCAACAGACACAGAGCAGCCATTTGACCAGTCCTGCGCTCTCCCCTAACACCCCACAAACTAAGGTAAAAGGGACTTGCCTTGGCCTGAGAACAGACTTCTACCAAAAAAAAAAAAAAACCCCCAGCTGGATCTTGGGGGCTCTGACCCCCGGAATGGGGGCCCCCTCACTGCGAGGTGGCTGAGGGCTGCCCCCTGCAGTCACCCCAGCTGTCTGCTCCTAGGGCCTTAGGGTGTAGGGTCAGAGGAAAGGCCCCCCGGAAAGCCTCCTGCCCATTCCCCGCGGGCTCTCTCTGGGCCCTGCACGAGGCAGTGAAGCCCAGAGAGGCGGACCAGGGCTGGAGTTGCGCCCGCTGGCGCCCGAGCTGGGTGAGACTGCACCGGCCCAAAGCGAGCAGGGCCGGCGGCTCAACGAGCTGTGGGGACGCGGAGGGCGGGGTGGGGGCAAGAACCGCGAGGATGGCGGCGGGCAGGCGGGGCTTGTCGGAGCTGGGCCGACAACCGCAGGGGACACTGAGACCAGCCGGGCGCTCCCGCTGCAGGCCGGGGCCTCGCCCACCGCGGACCCTAGCCGAGGACTCTGCCCCAGACCGGTGGAGAACGCAGTGGGTCTCGCCTCCTCGGGCCAGCGGCTGTGCTGGGTCCACTGCTGGCCTCGTAACATGTCCAGGGCCGAAACTGTTCAATTTTTGCCTTATTTCTGTTCTCGAAGTGTAACTCGAAGCCCAAAGCCCGAGGAGTCCTGCACAGGGCGGGTCAGCACTACCGGCGGGACGAGTCTGCCCGCACCCGCGGGGAGGGAGCGCACGCGCGGATCAGGGCTCTGTCGCGCCACCTGGCGGGGGCTCCGGGCACCGCGCCCGCAGGCCGGGCGCACCTGCCTGCCCTGCAGGGCGACCGCTCGCTCCCGGAGCCCCAACTCCGCAGGGGTGCGGTGCTGCCGTGCCACCGAGGGGCAATGCACCCAGCAAGGCCGGGCCCTGGGCATCCGGGAGGGCTCGGCCCGAGCCCGACGCGAGCTGGGGGTGCTTTTCACCTTCGCCCGGAAACCACTGGGCCCGGAAGCCGCTTCAAGCGGAGGCGCGCTGTGGGTGCGGGCTCCCCGCCCACGCTCTTTCCAAGGCTCAAGCGGAGCTTTGGTTTAGGTGTTAGAGCCGTGGGGCGGTGTCTCCTGCAGCTGCACCCCAGGGCGCTCCCCCCACATCCCAAGGTTGTGGTCGCTTCTAGCCGCAGTCTCCCCCACACACCCTCCCACCTGCTGCTGGGGTCCCCTGTGGAACTCCCTGCGGGGTGCCGCACGCCTCAGTGAGTGCTGCTCGGCGTTTAGAGGAGCCTGGCCTTCCAGAAGCCGGCGGGGGGCCGGCTCGCCCGGGTCTGTGCCTCCGGCAGGCCTCAGACCTCCCAACTCACATCCAGGCCCTTAGCTTGTCCCTCGGCCCGTGACCTGCCCCAACCCGGCCCTGGCGCCCCGCAGGGCAACCCCAGCAGGCTCTGACTGGCTCCATGCCCCGGCCAGGCCCTGGGCTATTCCAAGCCCCGGGCAGCCTCCTCTGGGTGTCAAGGTCAACCCCAAAACCCAGCCTCGCCCCCCATATCTTCCACCCCACACCAGACCTGCACAGGCTTCATTTGGGGCCATGAACTCCCAGTACTACCCCACCAAAAAAAAAAAAAAGTGTACTTTGCCTTCAACAAAGAGCCACAGATTCTAGGTGAGACCCAAGACCCCCCACAGGGCCGCGTCTATAGCCCAGTGGGACCCCCCAACTCCCCACCGCAGCCCATGGCCTTCCTGTGCCCCGGTGACCCCAGGGCAGAGGGTGACCTAGGCCTGGGGGGGGCTCCATCTCACAGGCAGGGGCACGGGGCGCCTCAGACTCCCTGGATGGGGAGACTCGCTAGAAGGGCACAGCAAGTGGGTTTCGCGATCAGGTCAGCCCAAGGCCAACGCTCCGGTCAGTTCCCTGGGGGTGAAGACACCAGGTGGCACAGGAAAGGCCTGGGGAAGCCTGGAGCACGGCCAGACGCCCCGGACGCCCCTACCGGCCCACCAGTTTCCCTCCCCGCTGAGAGCACGGCCCGGGGTGACCCCAGGAGCGAGCCCTCAGCTTAGGGCCTCGCTCGCCCCAGCACGGCCACTGGCCCGATGTGCACCCACAGCCAGGGAGTCCAGCAGAGGCCCCGGGGCAGTGCGGAGACTGGGCCCCAGGCCCCGCGGGGACACAGCTGACTGTCCCGTCGGACAGGAGCCGGCGGCCAGATGCGCAGGGGTGACGGAAAGGAGGCCGAGCCGCTGACAGGCCAGGCGCCGCCTGCGTCCCATTCCGCTGGGCCTCGCCCACCCCGGTCTGCAAGGTCCATCCCGCCTCTGGCAGCCCCTCTCGCGCCCATGACTCCTGGGGGTGCGGACGTGGGCTGGGGGCTGCGTGTGCCCGTCCTTCAGCGCGTGTCTCTGCCACCTCTGGGCCCTGGGCCCCATCGCATGCCCCACCCATCTCCAGGACCTCTCACCCGGCATGTGGGTGCATTTCCCGCAGCTCCAGGCCGCAAAGCGCTCTTGAGCCCACTCAGGGCTGCAAATCCGATCTGGGGGACCCTGGGGGTCACAGCCTGTCAGTTTCCACATCCGCAGGGTGAATGCTCCGCACCAAGAGTGGATTCTGGGCCCCCACCCACAGGCGCCCCGCACTGCCCCCGACAGCACTGAAGTGACCCTTAGGAAAGGAGGAGGGTCAGCGGTCAGCAGCTGGCCGCGTGTGGGGGGGCGGGGCCTGAGCCCTGTGTCTGAGGCGCTTCCTAGCCCGGGCGGGGTGAACCGCAGGGTCTAGACGCACTTGGGGCGAACGAGAAGGGTCTGGTGACCTTGCTGAGACAGGGAGATCAGAGGCAAGGTGGCTGTGCCCGGTGGCCAGAAACCGCACTTCTGCCTGAAGGGAGAAAAATGCAGTTCCGGTTCAGGGAGCGGAAGGGAGGAGGGAGGCTGAGAGCTGGCCCAGACACATCTCCTGGGGGCGCTCCATCTCCCCTCGCCACACCCCCAGGCTGTGGGGGGCCCTCAGCCCCCCAGCTGCAGCTCGGCCACCTGGGCGCGCCCGGGACTAGTCTATGCCCAGAGCTCAGGACACAAAGGACCGTGGCCAGTGCCACCCGGCCAGGCTGGGCCCTCTCGACCCCTGCGCCTTGCGTCCAGTGGAGAGAGGCCTCGGGGCAGCAGCTGAGGGCTGCACGCCAGCACTGGGCACCCTGGCCCCTCCCGGGAGGTGGCCGCCCTGTGAGCCCCCAGAAAACCAGCACCTCACAGGTCAAGGCCCTGGCTGGGGTCTGAGAGGAGGGTTCTGTGGGAGGGAACAGGGGGTGTCTCTGGAGAAGGGGTGGGGGGCAGGCGCGGGGGAGGAACCAGGGGCCTGGTCTCGGCTGGAGACCCACATCCCTTCTCAGGAGAGAAGCTGAAGGCCACCGGCCTCTTGCAGCTGGGCCAAACGCCCAGGACCAGCCAGCTGCTGCGCCGCGGGCGTCAGGACCCCTCGAGAGCCGAGCGCCCTCTGGGGCCACGGCCCAGGCAGGGGGCCTGAGGGGTCCCCAGGGAGACAGCCCACAGCCCAGTGAAACTCACCACTGGTGAGCTCATCGGCTCGCTCCCTTTCCCGATCCCCCTCACCAGCCACCAGCACCCCCAGTGTCCACACCTGAGCCCAGGCAGACCCTGGGGGGCTCTAGAGGAAAGGCACAGCCCAGGGGCCTTGTCCCCAGGGGCTCAGCTGCTAGTGGAGACCACACACGCATACGCACACACGTGCACACACATATACACATGTGCACACACGTGTACACATACACACGCACATGCAGACACATGTGTGCCCGTGCAGGTGTACACACATATACACATGCACACACACGCGTGCATACACACACACAAGCACACACAGGAAGTGGCGTGGAAGGCACACCTGACCCCAGTGGGCAAGGTGGCTAAGCACCAGGGGCGGGCCAGGGGCGGGCCAGGGGCGGGCAGGGGCG